ACAAAAAAATTGGTAATAATGAAGCGTTTGTATTAGGTGGGAAGAAAGTAACAACAGAAAATTTTTTTTCTCTTGAAAATAAAATCAAAGCAAGCTATATATTTAATGTGAGATGCTAGTCTATATATAGCTTATAGCATAACGTTGTATATATATTTTTTTTTAAAGTAAGTATATTTTACTATATATTATGATGGTATATCAAATATATATACCATTATTATATTTCATTTCATTTTCATTTGTTCATGTAAATTTTTATGGTTAAGGGGGATGTGATTACAAAAAAAAAATAAAATCACAAAAAAAGAAACCGACGACGATTAGAAGGAAAGTCCGTAACTATAAAGTAACATTCATCTGATTGACACTGACTACGTAACTGACTAATTAACCAACAGGTTAATAAATGAGAGGGTAAGCAGAGATAAACAGACGAAAACATACATACACACACACACGAACACACGAATACACGAGAAAACGAAAACCGGATTTTAAACTTTTCCGGACAAAAAGATAAATAACGGCAAAAACAAAGAGGAAAAAAGGTACTATTATATTCTCTATCTATTCCGTGTTTATTATTATATTAATACATAGTTATTTGCGTACGTAATATGTAAATGTGTGTGCGTATATGTTGTATTTCCATCCAAATAATCCAAATAATAAATAAACTGTTGAATTCATATGAAAAAGGTGGACCAAGCACACAGTCACGAACAATCCCAAATTTTTTCTGTCGCTGTCAATCCGTAATTAGACTTTTAAAGAATACAGAATATATTATTTTATATACACTCTAAAATAAGCTATTGACATATTAAGTTAATAAACTGGGCGCATTTTCTCCTGAGTTCTCATGTTTTAGTTTATCGCATGTGATTATTACAAACTAACCATCAGCGATTATTGTTGCATTTGAATCTCATGTATGCATGAAAAAAATATATCGCCGTCATTGATTTATTTTTTTTCTTGATTATATTATTGTCTCGCGTATATGTGACAACAATACATCAATCAATCAAATGTCAAACAATGAATATTCCTTTACGCAACAAAACCCCACTCTCGTCGGAGTTGCGCGACCCGTTGACTTTTGGTAACGAGTCAGGAAAGATCGAATCGAAAAAAAACCAGTTTTATTAAAATCCTGGGCACGCAATTTTTTTTTTAATAAGTATAATGAATGAAATCAATTTAGATTTAGATTAAAAATAAACTCCTGCATCTGACCATCAATTACATATTAAAAAAAGCGCTATTTTTTGTTGTGATGGTGGGTGGGTGGGTGTTGTTTGTCGTATTTCAAGCCTCCCATGCTCTTTTCTTTTACTCCCATGATTTTATCCCCTTACTGATGAATAACGCCTAGGTGGGGACATGATTATATGTCCGTTTCTTTATTTGGCAAAAGAAAACGAAGAAAACCGTTAACGGCCGTCGACTTCGAGCTGAATCAACAAAAGATGAATATCGTGATGGGAAGAAAATGATTTATCATCCTTTCACAGCACTAATTTAATTTTTTTATTTATTATTATTATTATTATCATCATCATCATCAATTCATTTAACACGTGTATTACCTACCGTAAACAATGTTGAAACTTTATTCATAGACACCTCTCAAACCATCCACTAAATCAATATCACACTGAATTTCAGTTTTTTGTGTTTCTACACACCACACGCACACACGCACGCAATAAGAAAAAATAACGAATAACGCGCGTGTGCATGAATGATCCTAATGCACACGAGGAGATGTCAATTTTCTGATGATACTATGAAGATTTTTAAAATTAGATCTCTCATGTATGTATAGACGCGGGTAGACTGCAAAATTTTTTTTGTAATCTGTAACGCAACTTATCAAAGGAAAAAAATTTTGCTAGGCAACGAATCTAGGCATTAATGTAGATGAATCTATCTAAAAAAAAGTTGTATAATAACACGATTAATATGAATCAATCACAACAAATATGGAATCCGGAAATTCCGAGTTTTTTGATTTTTCCAACTCATAGTTCTGCTTTTTAGAATTACTATTATTTATTCTATCTTCGGCCGAAAAAATTTCATTATGATTTTCAAATGCCAAACTTTATTTCGTCGATGATGATGATGATGTTTTATTATTGTCAAAATTTTCGCGTATACGAGGTTATTGTTCATCATTATTGTAATTAAACCACCCGGGATTTTCCCTTCTAACGTAGCAATACAAAAAAGAACAAGAATGATTGACTTTGCGTCAATCATCATTCGTCAATTCTCTCACACTCGAGAAAAAATGAGCCAGAAAAGACACTATTAAAGATACCTTATACTAAAATTGGTATAAATTTTGTCATCACACATTTGTAAAAGTAGATTATTTACCTTTTGTAAGACATCTTTAAACAGATGACTCTGACGAAATGTGTCAAAGCATGAAATGCCCAAGTTTTTTTTTTTGCTGTCTTCAATAATAGGAGTTACGATGCTTTAAAGTTCTCAATCATGATCTAATTTTTTAATTATTTATTAATTAAAATCATGACTTTGAGAAATTGAATGATACCTGTTCCAAAACGGGCAAAGCGTGAGACGCACCACTTTGTTGATCCCCACTATCGACACGTAAATAATATTTCTTCAAACATGTATAAGAAGAGAAAACGTAATTCAGGTTTCAAAAAAACGGTTGAACGCTCTGTAAAAGTAGATGTAGAAACTCAACGTGAAATAAACCAAAAGCGTTTAAAATCCGCATGGGATGATATAATTGCACGTTATGGTTGCGATTTGACAGAAGAAACAGACGAAATTGATCTCATGACCGGTGAGGTTGTAGTCGACAGGGGTGTTCTGAGAAACGCGCCCGTCTTCAAAATTGGAACGTTGTCGAAGTTGTATCATAAAAAAAAAGGATAATAAGTCAGAGGAGGAGGAGGAGAAGAAGGAAGAAGACCAAGATATGATGAACTCTGATCTTGAGGATGAAACAAGATCAACCACCGAGGGTGTAGCGTCAAAAGACTTCGATTCTAGTCTTGGAATGTTTAATGATGATGAAGATGTAAATCAAGAGGATCAAAAGGATGAGGATTCGTTGCATTCATTTAAAGAAAATTACCATGATAGTAAGGAGGAGGAAGAAGAAGAAGAAGAAGATGATGTCATAGGGAATTTATTGCAATCGACCGCAAAAACTTATATAAAAACGGGGAAAAAGGACTGGAAAGGCTCTGGACCATCATCACCCGTTGATTCACCTTCGAATTCCGATGATGATGATGATGATGACGATGATAATGATACTAATAATTTCATCCGAGCGATAGAAGATGAAGATAATAACGAAAAAGAAACCAACAATGACATAGAAACTTCAGCCACAAAAAATCAGCCTCGGAATTTTATACACTCATTACCGACACCAAACCAAACACCAACGCCAGTTTTAATACCATCTCGTTCTCCATCTCCAGTACCATCGATTTCATTGACGTCAACACAAAATAAACAAAATGTTACTGCTGGGTCACTTGATATTATCGAAATCCCTACTAAAGAAGAGAATTTGCATCTCAGAGAAAAAGATGTGATAATAAAAAATAAGAAGCAAGAAGCAAATCTGAATAGATCCAAAAATAACTGCTGTTTATTATCCATTTCGGAAGGTTTTGAATACCCAGAATCAGGTTTAGATTCAGACTTAGAAAGTATAACGGATTACTCTGACTCGGAAGACATTAATTGATGTTAAATAAAATTATTGTTTGACGACATTCCATATAATAAATATTTTTATTAGACGAAAACTATTAGATCAAATGGGTTAACTTTATTTGAGTGAAACTTTTGAAGTTTTATTTTTTGGATTAATTAATTTATATGAAACATTATAATGAATGCACAGGCAAAATTAACTATATAAGTATAAAGTAAATCATCGGTGCATGTAAAATAGTTGAACATGCATAATTCATTCAATTTGATAAATTTGTTATATCATGAAAGCAAAAAAAAGATACTAAAAAGAATAAATAAGTTCTACTTTATTTTAGATATGAATGTAATTGAAATAGCTTGTTAAAAATATAATAAAATAAAATAAAATAATATACAATCTAATGCAAAATTTCCAAGAAATTTTTTACTTGATGTATCAGACTGTTTTACCACGTGAACACAAATTTCAAAACTCGAAGAAAAAAACCAATTTATATTTTTTAATAATATAAAATAAAGATAATAATAAACTTTTACAATTAGAATAACTCAGAAAATCTAAAAAAAATATAAGAGTTCATTTAATCCGTTGAGTTTTAATTTGGTTTGTTTCATC